CTTACAATATCATATTACCTGTATTTTATGAAAGCATGATAATTGCTTGAGGGGAGATTAAGCCCCATTTTATTGTGGTCGCGAGTTTGATATCATTCTCATCCACTTGTGGGGAAGCCCCTGGACTTTATGTAAGAAGGAAACATTTTGTGTAAAACATATTAACGTGAATTTACCATCTAAAATAATTAATGAATTAATAGAAAATTACACCGACTCCGATCATAAAATATGCCTGGAGGAATCTTGATTTTGATAGATACGTCATTTTTGTGTAAAACATATGTTTTCTTTTGTGTGGGATTACATGGTATTACTGTCGACAAATTTAACATGTGTGAATCAAATAAAAAACTTACTAAATAAATAGGCCTAAAAAACCAAGTATTATATTGTGCATTGTCGTGCATGCATACGTTTGTAGTTGCACAGGAACAAAGAACAGCAGACAGGAGTTGATCATCCATGCTTCTCGTACATTCATTCGTTATGTTAATATCTAAAAAAATATCTATATAAAGTTCTGAATATTAATTACTCAGTATATAGTAAGACACAACAGTACAATGATATAATCAGAGACAAATTTAATTTCCGTCTTGGGTACATTTCTCTCTGTCAGTTGGTGGGTGACATACAACAACTATCGCAAAGTAAATAGTTGTAAAATCGCACATTATGAAAATACGTCTTGTTAGGTTACTGGGTATGTTATTTGAATGATAAAACTCGCAGTCGTATTTTTGTAGTTTAATATTTCAAAGATGTTAAGGAATTATATTGGTGTGGACTGTGAACAATTTTATGATATCATATTTATAAACGTAATTCGTTGTGTCGCTAATCTAATGTAATCTAATCTAATCCAATTGACACATGAGGCTAACTGTAGTATACTCTCACTCTTATACTTTTTTACATTTAATTTCATCTGCAATGCGTCAGCATTTACAATGATAATCATAGTTACAACACTGCCTCATAATATTTGTATTGACTGCAAACATTTGCAAATGAGATAAACTAGTCCCTTCAGCTAGTTTTTTTCGGCAGTGGGTGCACAACTTGAATTGTGTTGGTACTTGCCAACACTTCGCTTATATTATATTGTTATATATAGTTATTCATATTTGAATAATAAAACCTTTTGAATCATTATTTACACAAGCATTATTATACGAACCATGAAATAACTATGTAAATTAGTCACAGGCTCAATTTCAGTATTGTTATGGTGATTTTGAAAATGAGCCGCCTTCATAATCCGGTGCAATAAGATTTGAACTGAAAACAATGTATTATACTAACTGGTCACTGGTAGCATAGTGATTTTCACATCAGACTCATGATCGGTAGACCCAAGTTCGAATCCTACCTTAGGCTGAACATCAATAGGGTCGACCCCTACCCTTGGTGAGTGTGCTACAGACTCAATGAGAAGGCCAATTCCACTGACCGAGATTCATTCACTAACGAATGCGGCTTTTGGGGAACTTTGGTTAAGCTCCGCAGTTGCTTGTTTTCGACCGAGCTTGGTTGACGCCAGGATAGCGCATTAAAATTGCCATTTGATAGGGAGATGGCCACACAGCCCTGCCATGTAGTCCCAAACATAAATATGACTTCTGTGGCAAAATGCACTATGTGTCAGCACTAGCACTTGCAATTTGCACTTACAAAAAAAAGTCAGAAGAGACAACAGTGGCATTCAATGTCCGACACTGTCGCCTGGGACAAAAACATTTATAAAAAAGAAAGAAAACAAAAAAACAATGTATTAGACATGTGAAACTTCTAAAGCTGCAATCAAATTAAACTACCATTCTTATATTTATCAGCAAAATAATGACAAATCATGTAGCTTCTAAAACTTTAAAAATGTTGATTAACATGTTTGACAATAGTGTCCGGCAATGATGAATACACTCAGGAAACCGAGTTTTGGTTGGTATTGAGGTGTCATTCATTCCCTGATAGCGATCATAAAACACACATGAAGGGGACAGATCGCTAGATCTGTTTATTTACCAGTACAGGTATCAAATTATGGAGCCAATTACAAACACAAATTTAATTTTCCAACTGTTATTTTTGATTACAATGTTTACTATGAAAAAAATTTACTGTGTACCCAATCTGCATCTGTGAAAAGTTTTAAATTGAAATGAGAAATGTAAAAATTATAATATATCTCATATTCCCAAGTTCAATGACGCTGCTTTACTATGTTCTGTTATATGAGAGGCATTTAATAAATAATGCCCCTGACCCACTTCCAGTTGTCTGATCTGGATGACATTTTGCATGTGTAATGATTCACATCTCTATTGGTTTTGTTGTAAAATACAGCCCTGAACTAATTGTGGTTTCTGATTTACAGGTGTTTGAACTGAGTCAGGTGTGAAATGGAGCCAGATTAGTGTCGCGCACACCAAAGGAGACTTTTGATGAAATGAAATCAACTTATGGTGATGATGCCCCATCATATGACCTTGTAAAACGCTGGCATCGTGAATTCAAACATGACCGGAAGTCTGTGGAACAGCTCCCAGACCTAATCGTCCATCTTCTGCCATTGATGAGGCATCTGTCCGTCAAGTTGAGGCAGCCATTTTGAAAGATCGATGCATTATTGTTCGCCAAATAGCCTAAAAGGTCAAAATTAGTACAGGGTCTGTGGAAACTATCATTCATGACCATTTGCATATGCATAATGTGTCTGCCAGATGGATTCCCAGGTTGCTCACACCTTTCCAGAAGCAAGAACGGGTTGAGTGCTCGGAATGAATTTGGAGATGTGCCAAGAAGATGAATCAATGTTTTTCAAAAGACTGATTACACAGGATGAAACTTGGGTCCCTCACTATGACCCAGAGACCAAAACCCAGTCAATGCAGTGGAAGCACTTGGACTCACCACATCCAAGGAAGGCAAGAGTGCAGCCCCTACCGGCAAGGTCATGCTCACAGTCTTCTGGAACCAGGACGGAGTAGTGATGACAGATTTCCTGGCAAAGAGTACCACAATTATAGGAGCCTATTACGCTTCACTTTTGATGAAATTAAGAGAAGCTATCAAAATCAAGAGGCGGGGCAAGATCAGCAAAGATATCCTCCTCCTGCAGGACAACGCTCGGGTCCACAACTCGCATGTCGCCAGATCAGAAGCATGGGCGTATGGCTATGAAATCCTCCACCTAACCTCCTTAATCTCCTGACCTTGCACCTTTTGACTTTCATATCTTCACTGTCATGAATTTGTTTTTGAAAGGAAAGCGTTTCCCAGATGATGCAGCCTTGATTTCTGAAGTTACGACGTGGTTGGAGGGCCAACCTGGGATGTTCTACAAAAACGGCGTCCAGAACTGCATCAAACGATGGGAGAAATGCATAACTCTTGGTGGTTCCTTAGTAGAGAAAGACTTATAACTGTGCCAAGTTTCATTAATCTCCTGCTATGGGAAATGGGTCAAGGTCATTACTTATTGAACGTCCCTCGTATATCAGCAAATAATACTGCATTTATGAAACCATGTTGTTGAAGCTTGTGCTCCATATTGTAAATCCGGCAATCGAATATGCTCTTCTTCGCAATGAAACATCTCACAAAATGTCCCCTCTCTGACATGTATTTACCCACTTATCGTATATATCTTAATAAAAGTTAAACATCATAAGGTGAGGTTAAAGGTGATAGGGAAAAGGTTGAGTGATATGTAAACAATATACAGTTATTAACTGATTTTTTTTTAATTTGCTGTTATACAGAAACAGCTTCGCTGGATTAAAACAAACTCTTCATGGACGTCAACTATCAGTGAACGATTGTTTTTTTCATAAAACTAAATTGATGATTTGTTTTTAGTATTTAGTTTGTCTAAATGGAAATGTTACGATGGTATTACTGTGTGATTTAATGTATTCAAAATGTGTAATTGTCAATTAAAATTGAGAGAATTCGGTAATTCTATTTCTGTTTTGCCATTCACGCTTTCATTTCGTACATGCTTGTTCAATCAGACGATGTGAATAATTTACATCTTCAAGTAGAATACACACCCACAACCACAAGCAATTTCGAAATGGGCACAATGCAAGCTGTAACCATGGATACCTTGACAAGAGAAATATTCATTTTTATTAATAAACATGGGAAAGGGTTTAACTTGTTTCTCAATCAGGTGAACAGAAGTATTGATAAACATGCCTGATCGCAAAACAGCGTGTTTTAAGATATAGATGAATGACTGTTCATCTATATGTTGTTGTAACTCTATGTGCAGAAGTTCTAATAATTTACGGTGATATAATTTTTTGAATGTCGTGCTATCATATAATGATACCCTTTTTATTATTATAACAAGAGCATCTAACACCATTGTTAAAAAAACTTCAAATGTATAAATACTGAATATTGTATTATTAGGAACATGGTGCGCTCTTGTTTATAAATTGAAAAGAGTCTAATGAAGTACTTATAACAACACAGTTTTCGACAAATCTAGCGACCTGCTGTGTTGAATGCATTTTATACATTCTATATGATACAACAGTAGCCGAATGAATAGTAAAATATGTAAATTCAGTTATGCAGCACCACAGTTTCTCTTAGATGATATATGATAGGAAGTTACCTCTCTGAGAAATTTATTCAACTTTAGAATTAACTGTAAATGTTTGAGAAATATAATATGTCAGGGTTTTGTTGCAATTTTATTTTTCAGCATATTTACCACAAATAAAAGGAAAGTACATATATACGTGTACGTGTATACTAAAATAAATATATAAAAAGCAAAATAATATAAAATATAAAGGTATACATTACTATGTAATTATTAGTATATATCATGTACATAAAAAACAAATGATAAATGTTTTGTTATTTTTAGCAATGCACAATTTTAATTTCTATAAATATAGGTAGATCCTGATTGACATGTGCAGGTCAAAGATTACTGAATATGTATATTTACTCATTTACTCACTATACGGCACCATTTCATATTATACTGGTATCTGGCAGTCAACGAGCCTCATCACTTGACTAAACATAGAAAAGCATATACGAGCAGCGGTGAGTATTCATCAGTATAGTGTAGCATAGCATATGCGATATTCTAAGTAAATGTATATTTATCAAACTGTAATGTTCAACAAACTTCCTAGATAGGATGGAATCACAATTTCAACAACATAATATTGAACACTGATTCATGAAGATCATATAACAATTCTAAATTGGTCATTGAGCACAGTATTTTAAGTGTTTTATGTGTTACGTTCCTAGTTTTATTTAGTCATAAGCAAGATAATGTTTCTATTGTAGTGTTTAATTCTGATTAATAATTGAGGTAATTTTTCTACTGCCGGACACTAATAAGTCACTATAATAGAACATCGTGTCGATGCAAAAATAGAAATAACAATCACACCAATCCAATATCCTAATCATTTGACTAACGGGGGAATATTATTTACGCCATATTGGAATGGCAGAGCAAACATTTATTTGAAAACGCACATCATTCTGGCAGTAGTTGTATCACGTGACTATAATTTAATTATGGATGACATATTATTTCCTAACGTAATCAGCGAGATTATCATGGGCCCCCGAAAACCTCAAACGATTCATTGGCTATTAAATTCATCCAGTTCAGATTTTTAGTGTTGCTTTGTAAATATTGTTTCATTTTATAAATTCATGCCTCTCGCTCGCGAGGTAAGCAATTTTATTCACGTCCCAGCATCCAGATTTGATTACCTTTGTTCTGATGGAGCGTTATATTTTATGGGCCCACGTCTGCCATTTACCAACCATTTGTCGCATATAGTTAAAATTTCCAAATACAGTTATTGGCGGATACATATTCAGATGAACCTTATTTTGTATTTGTGACTTGATTACATTGGATCTTATAAGTACTCAGATATGTTTACTCTCACTGATTTTATATGAATTTGCATAATGGTGGCAATATTCTCCACTATTGTTTTAAAAAGTGTTAGTGAAAGGAACTGGCTGTCTGCCATTTTCCCATGCTACTCTAGATTTCTGAGAAGAAATGTCAATAATACTGACGTGTTAAACAGGAACCTGACTTACTGAGTTTGTATTTTCTGAATTTACATAGACATCACCAACAACGTGGTAGCAATGAAAATGTTCCTGTGTCTGACCATTGTTGTCATGGTAGCTGTATGCCAAGCAGAAGAAATCCCGGGATTAGCAAACGCGGAAGCTGAAATAATTGAAGAAAATCCACAGTTGGCAAAAGAGTATATTAAAGACGTCATAGATGCTTTAGCTGTCGATGGTGTAAATTATAAAGACTTGTTTCCAGAAGAATAACACACTATACGGTTGTACTGTAATATCCATATTACATAGGCTGAATGGAATGAAATAAAAATTCTAAACTCTCATAGTGATAAATGAATGAATGAATGAATGAATGAATGAATGAATGAATGAATGAATGAATGAATTAATGAATGAATTAATGAATTAACTAACCTCTTCAGATGCGAGGTCATCTGTTTGTGGCAGACAGTTTGACTTTACATCATTTAACTGTTTTGAACGACTATCTCGTCAGTGCATTTCGTTTGTCTGTCCGTGTTAGATGGTCATAAAGTCTGCAAAAAATTGCTAAAACTCAATACATTGTAGCCAGAATTGCCATATTCAAGAATTCATTCTACGTCATATTTGGAATCGATCAAGGAGATAATCTATCCAACATAGTACGTCATGAATAGTTTCTATAAATACGTTTACTGCTAATAGTGCACAATGTTCTGATTGCAGTTTCACAGCCTTTTCCGTTTGCCTTGCCAGTAGGTTTATTTCGTACGACGCAAGGTTACCATACCCTGAAACAAGAGTCTCAATTAAAGGGTATACATTTGTGATAAATTTTATTTTGTAAGTATGTATATGAAAGGGATGCAATAGAAAGTCATCGTATAGATGACTGGCATATCAGGGGGTGACCACGTCCGTGCTCAGACTTTTCATAAATCGGGCGTTTGAGAGATGTTGCTCGGTTCCTTCCAGATTGCAATCTACCAAGTACGGGTTTCCGTGTCACACCGGACAATTTTCATTAACTACTCGACCTGACTCCTAGTTTACGTGGTCGAACATGGTAACGTTAACAAGAAAAGCATTTCTCAAAATAGCATCGTCCTGATCATTATTTACCCACGTACATCACTCTTTGTTTAGTACACATTGGCTAAACTGTAGATGAAACTGTAATGAAAATTACAATTAAAAATTACCCATCGTCTATATTTTAAGAAATGCTATGGTTAAGCATCATTATGTCTAACGTAAGAGGTTGAATGATGAAAAAAAATATACAGTTACAGTTTTTATTTTGTTATGGGGTTTTCATTACTTTGTGTTGACGGAAATAGATTCGCTAGATTAAAACAATCTAATGGACGTTGACTTCTAAGTAATGATGTTTCAGCGTGTTTTCATAAAACCAAATTCACAAATGTATTGCGTTCGTGCCTGGACTACTTTTAAACGTTATACATATATCAAAACAACTTGGAATACATATTTCGCATTGGACAATTTTATGCATTCTATATGATACATAAGTAGCCATGTAAATAGTAAATAGTAGGCTATTTCCACAGTTAGTTAAGACTACTCTTTCCCGTACAGAGATAACATCCCATTTATCATCTGAGAAATTGAATCAATCAATGAACTGCAAATGATTTAAATATAATATAATGTGCCCGGGACTTGATGCAATTTTATATTCCAAAATTTCGTAATCTTTTACCACAAATAAAAGTATATGTGTATACGTGTATAATATACAAATATATGAAAAGTAAATTGTTATAAAGTAAAAAGATATATATATCACTAAGTTTTATTATTATGTCACACATACTTAAAACAATGTATTGATCTTTGGTAATAGTAGTTTGTCATTTTTAGTCAGCAACGCACAGTGTTTTTCATTTCTATAAATACAGGTAGATCCTGATTGACACGCGGAAGATGAAGATTATTGAATGCGTATAATTACTGAATAAACGGAACCATTTAAAATTGTACTGGTATCTGAAATGCTATGAAATGCTAGGGTATAGTTAAGCATCATGAGGTCAAGGGTAAGAGGTTGAGTGATGAATAAAAAATATACAGTTACAAACTGTTTTTATTTTGTTATGGGTTTTTCAGGTTTTTGTGTTGACAGAAATAGATTCGCTAGATTAAAACAATCAACATGAACGTTGACTTCTAAGTAATAATGGTTGAGTGTGTTTCATAAAACCAAATTCGCCAATATTTTTCGGTCGTGACTGGACCATTGTTAAACGTTATACACATATCATACTTGGAATACATATTTAGAATTGGGAAATCCCAAAACTAATACAAAAGTGTATTTGAAACAATTTTTTTGAAGATTGCGGAATGAATGTTGGAGCACTAACGGTCCTGCTAAAAGAAATATCTAAGTCAGCCGAGGAATGTAGTTTCTCATTTGATAGGAATGATTTTTTGTAAAAAATATATGATTTGAAAGCAAGGTGGTACATACTCCTGTAACATATTTTTCCAATACCAAAGAATACCAAACTAAGGCTGTGAGTTAGACACATTGAGCAGCGATGTACTGTGATTCAATTCAAGAATCAGAACCTCAATCTAAACATATATTGTAGAGTTTAAGGTCTATAAATCATATCAAATTTAAACTACAATTCCCTAACATTTTTGTTCAACCTTGGTACTGAAACTATTACTGACCATTTTCAAATCACCGGCACCTTTTTAGTACTATTTGTTTAGGAGTCACAGGCTGGAACCCATTTGTTACTATTATAATTGTTTTCTGTTTTTAGGTGCCTTTTTCTACTTCAACAGGTTATTTGTGACATGCCAATTAACAAAAACTGAAGATCGAAATGGTCTGAAATTTGTTTCTTCAATGTGAACTAGTGCACCTGAATTTCATAATGTGATTGGTCAATTGGTTCGGCAGCCATATTGGATTGAAATTAAACCGTAAGTGGCTATTTGACAAATGTCTGAGTGTCTAGGCGATCGGATTTCATAACATATAGTAACTCATGATTCATGTGTAAGAGATAATAGCACTATCATTTTTAGCGACACGTGAACTTTTCACAAAAAATATAAATATTTATGAATGAACATATGGTTTGGTCACTATCATAGTTCCTACTAATGCCAAAGTTATTAGATTTATTGGAAATTTGCCATGTTGCTTCTCTACAATAACCCCCTCAAAACACGAAAAACATCTTCGATATTTGTTTTTGTTGAGTATGTTTATCACGTTTGTGAAAGTCTTTTTTACGAGAGTAAAAATGACCAGCAATGGGTTAAGACGCCAGTTTGGATTCCCATCAAAAATTACCAAACGTTAAGCATTTATTTCTCATGAGTGTTCAAACCATCAAAATTATCTCCATATATTGCAACGATGACAGAAGCTTTTCGTGTGGAAAATAGATTCTGCATATCTAATTCCTGCACAAGCATCACTGATGTAATGCTGTTCAGAGCTTTAACAATAATTGTGATTGTAAACAAGTATGTATTAAGCTGCTGTATGTCTTTTAATTTTTAATGCCAATATATTGGTCTATAAGTGGTTGAATGTTAATAATAAAGTATAACAACATTATTAATGATATGATATTAGTGAGTGGATATATTAATGAATATTCATATCAAAAGAACATCGGAATTTTGTTAACATACCATGTACATTGTCATCTGTAAAGCCGATTCATTCTGGTGATTTGATGTATTTGTGAACTGGCTCATCGCCGCCCAGTGTTTCAACGCACTATCATAAGTAATAGAATGGCCTATTGTGCAGTTGATGGTGATTACACCAATAATATGGATGGATCAACAGAGTTCAATGAATCAGAAGGACGTTACAATCAGAGACTAAAATACTATTACATTTAGGAGGAGTACCCGCATTCCACAACAAGACAAGTTCAACTATTTTCGAGTCATTTTCTTCAGTGTAGGCATAAATGTACGAATGGCAACCTTCCCCGCTCTATAAACCCTAAGTGTGGAATCAAGAAACTAATATCATAATCATGTTCATTCATCAAAGTTTCAGCAAAATATAATATCGGTTCAAAAAGAATTCAGGTGAAGCTTTAATTTGTCGAATTTGTTTGGTAGATGTTGTATATTCCAGTAGCCAAAAAGCAGAACGATATGATCCCATGGGGCCGATGATTACATATGCTACAAGGCTTGAATTCATCATTTTTGGGTGAAACGTGAATCAATTGAGTTGTATTAAGCTGTTTATACAATGGTAGTTTACTATTTTCTTGAAAATCGTGGGATATGTACGCATTACAAAGCAGTTTTCATTAGAGATTCTTAAACAGGGTTATTCTTTGAAGCGAAAATTAGATTGAACTTCTATGTTTTATCGACAGACTATTGGTTAAGGGGCTATCGCGAAAATGCGGTATTTCAGTACTAATAGTCGTTACAGCTGCAGAATAAGTAATATGCCCTGCTCGATGACTGATAGACAATGATTACGTATCCAATACATTGTAGTTTGTTAATGGTTGTTCATATTTTGTAGTTAAGAAATAATATCAGCATTTATGACTTGAAGCGTGGATACTTCATCATGTCTTTTAGTTTGTTCAAAATAAAGATCAGTATTAGAGTTTTGAAGATCACCCATCACAAAATTTACATCAAAACGCATTGTCGGTACATATTTGCACTTCAAACAAGACCAGAAATAGGTCATTGTATGTTTATTAAACACACTCAAGATAAAACAAAATAAAACAAGGAATAATATATATTAATAATATACACTTTCGTCCTTGCTAATTTCTATGTCTATTGAACATATAATTCCCTAGCCGTTATTGGGCCACTGTTCTGCTCATAAGACCGATTCTGTATCATTCCACCCTGCCTAGTTTATAAAAACAATTTGAAATATAGAAAGTATTGTGGGGAAATTTACAGCAGGAAATTACAAACATACCATTCTCAAAAGTACATTAATTAGGAATGAAAGATTACATCAAGCTATTATATACTACTGGATTGTTTGCTTGAGTGCATTTTATTCTAATGAAAGTTAATTTAACTGCTTAAAATATGGCAGAGGCCGCCATCATGAATAAATTTATCTTCTCAAATAGCTATTGCTGTACCATATAGTATATATGCAAATCACCCAGCGCTTGAGAGCGCTAGTACTGATTAACAACGTTGAAATATTCGAAACTTTTGGCGTGATAAATATTTTATTGGACCAGTGGTGCACAATATTCATAATAAAACAAAAAATATGTAATGTTTATACATCGAATATGATGTTGTATTCATATATGGTTTTAGATGCTGTTGATGACTCGAT